AGATCCACTTGTTTACTAAACAAATGCCTCTTTGTAATGCTTTACATTGCAATCATTCAGTGAAAATAGATGATGAGTGTAAGATGAAACAATCTCCCGTTCTATACTGATGGTTTCAGACATCAAATAATGCACAATATTTATAAATAAGAGTTATTGTTGATCAAGTCACATTCAGTTAGGAAGGCACCTCTCATGACCACCTCTCTGAACGATGAGTATGAACATGCTCACCTGTCATTGTCCAGTATAGCTTTTTTCTCCAGATTATAGATTTGTGCTTGATGCTCCTCTTTTTGATTTTGAAGCTGCTGTTCCAACGACCTGTGTTCAGCCATTAGCTTCTCTCTCTGCATAGAAAAGTCCTCCAAAGACGCCAGCTTACCGGCTAAACACAAAAAGGTAAACGTTTTAATTATGGACACTGGCAATCTTGATAGGTAGAAAGGTGCATTTAATAATGGTCAGTTATATGATCGTGCCTCACTCTCACATAGCAGTACAGCTAAGACCCAAAAAAAGGTTTCTATTTTTTTTCTTAGTGTGAAGAACCTTTTCCCAATACAAAGAACCTTTTGCGCAATGGAAAGGTTCCATGGATGTTAAAAGTTCTTCATGGAACCGTCATAAGGAACCTTTATTTTTAAGAGTGTATCACACACTTAGTGACAATTTGTTATATGTTTTCATTTTATTTGAAATTTGTTTTGTATCTATGCAAATATGTGACTGCTCAGAAGCTTGTACCAAGCGTCATGTTCTCAGATGTGAATTTTTCCTTAGTTTCCTGAAGTTCATGTCTAAGCATGCTCAGTTGTAACTCAAAGGATTCTCTCTCGGCCTCTTGGGCTTGCTGGTGTCTTGATAAAGTCTCAGTCAGATCATTCACTTCATCCTCTTTTTGAGTCAGTGTGCGTTTCATGTAGAGAACTATGTCTTTCTTCCCTTTCTCCACATTATTAATCTTAGAGGATAAGTCCTTTTCTTTAACCTCCAATTCATCACATTTAAGCTGGTATCTGCAAGAAAAAAAAGAAAAGGTCACACATATGAGGCAAGTACTTCCTGTTGAGGGTATGACATATTTGGTGAAGTATTGTCAGGTTAATTATTAACACTATTATAATCCAAAGTCTACTTCATTTTATTTCCCTCTACGGCAGAGACATGAGCTAAACGAATTAAACAACTAACTGATTTCTGAAGATGCGATTATCATCTCATATCTTTAAGTGTACTGAAACTTCAATCAAGTGGTCAAATCGACATCGTCATTAGGTGAGTGTTTCCTCCTGCGTACATTGCTTTAGGTTTTTACTGTAGGCTACAGAATGTGCAAATGCGTTTTTGTTTTTGGGTTGTTGTTTTTCTCAAATTCTGAGGTATTTGAATATCGTGAAAACCTCTAAAAACTCGTATGTAACCAAAATAAACAACAATGTCAGTGGTCGTGATAACTTGCCAGAACTCTCACCTTTCCAATCGCTCCTCCAAATCACGTATTTGAGCCCTAAAAAAGTTTTTGTCACTCTCCGTTAATTCTTCGTGTTTTTTCTGCTCAGGCTCAATACCTTCCTTTTTATTTGATAGCACATCTCCGCGCCCCTTTCCATTCTTTTTGGGAGGCATTGCACTTTTACGTGCTTTAAACTAAACAGTCTGAGAAGTAAAAACTTAAACAATTGCAATTGTTTCTTGTTGCCATGGACGTGAGGTTCGAGTTGTGTGTCATGCGCAGAAACGTGCGCAAAAAGTATAGGCTACATTTTGTGCTGTTTCGCAAAGCCTACTTTTAAAACCTGAAATTGTGGAAAATATTATACTAATACCTTTGGACATATAAAACAACAGTTTCACTTTCATTTCTGATTAAAAGTCGAGTTGTACCACTCCTAATTCTGCCGATAGTCTCATTCAAATGTTTTATTGCTAGCCTATTTCTATTTTTTACTTAACCTGTTGGCCTCAGAATATTTTACATTTACTATATACTCGTTTTTAAATGTAATTTGCAACAAAAATCACTACAGCACTTTCCTAAACAACTGTAATACTGTAACCAATTATTTTGCATAATGAGGAGGACAATTTGCTGTGCGGTTGTGTAAAGTGTTCATATCGACTGCAATTGGAAATTTATTTTGTGTAATACACATTAGTATTGTAGCTCTAATATTTTACACCGTTCAACAGAATTTAATACAAAAGATGTTCAATAATGCACAATGTTTTTCAGGAAAAGGGATACTTTTTATACTTTTTAAGTTGTAGGCTATCCCACAAGTTATTTTACAAAATTGTGTTACTCCACCAGTATTCATTTAAATGTTTAACTTTTTTACTTACAGCACATAATACACATTGTGGTGAGATAAAAATCAATTTTAGACCCGTTTACCCTAATCAAAAATTTCTTTTAATTCAATGATGTTCATTGTGGGTCCAATTTGGATAAGGCAGGGTGCAGTTTCCTGGGACCATTCAAAACTGTTGAAAGACTCATTGACATCTCATTGTTCACATCCTCTGATATACTGAGAATTTGCACTAAGCCCTCTTGTATGCTGCAATGTCCTTATTAACCCTTGAAGAATTTAATAGCGAAGTTAGGCTATAACAATCCATGTGTTAAAATTACAGCTAGTCACACTTTAACTGTTTTAACTACGTATTAACATTAATCATTTGATAAAATGTCATTATTGTGTGCATAGCCTATGTTTTACATTGCACTTAAATTTAAGTAAAAAAAAGGGCCAGTTCAGATCCTTATATTTTAGATAACTATCGCCCAATTTCAAAATTACCATTTTTATCAAAAGTAATGGAAAAGGCTGTCTTCCACCAATTGACTGTATATTTAAATGAGAATAACTTATTAGATAAGTTTCAGTCTGGTTTCAGACAACATCACAGTGCAGAATCAGCTTTGCTGAAGGTGTTGAATGATCTTTTGTTGGCTGTGGACCATGCTATTCCTGAATTCAAGGTACCGCATTGAAGTGGTTTAAATCGTATCTTTCTGATAGAACATTTTCTGTGGAGGTTGGGAATTTTTCTTCCTCTTCTGTACCATTAACTTGTGGTGTACCTTAGGGGTCTATTTTGGGCCCGCTGTTGTTCTCACTGTATTTGCTCCCAAGGCTTGATTTTTCGAAAGCACAACATTCCATACCATTTTTATGCGGATGACACCCAGGTGTACCTCCCTTTGAAAAATGGGGATAATTATGCCTTGAGGAAGTAATGCTGGCTGGCAGCTAATTTTCTAACACTGAGTGACTCTAAAACCGAAATTGTAGTTTTTGGACCAGCAGATTCTATTATACAGATAAATAACCATCTGGGTCATTTAACTGTGAAATCTCATGCTTATGCCAAAAATTTGGGAGTGATTTGGGAGTGATTAAAAAACGGCCTTAGATTCGACAAACAAATCAATTCAGAAGTGAAGAGTGAGAAGAGTGAACCAGTGAAGCGAAGCAAGAACAGGCGAAATATGTTCCCTCTTTCTAGTTCCGGTAAGAAGCCTGGCGGCAGCGTTCTGTAACATTTGTAGGCGGGATAAGGAGGACTTAGCCACATGGTACAGTGAGTTACAATAATCCAGCCTGGAGGAAATAAATGCACGAATCACTGTCTCCAAATCATTTACTGTTAAAAACGCTTTTAATTTTGCAATGGATCTGAGATGATAAAAGCTACTCTTCACTACTGAATATATATATATATATATATATGTGTGTGTATATATATATATATATATATATATATATATATATAGGCCTATATATATATTTATTTATTTTTTACAGTGAGCAATGGTGCCAACTGTCCCTTTGCGCCATCTTGTGGTGATTTATAAATAATAGAGTATTTTTTCTGTATCAAATTTTTCTGAAAGTGATAATTTTATGGATATTGTTTTTAATTTTACATAGTTTTGAGTAGCCTACATTTTAAAATAAAGGAAAAGGACTGTAAATTTGTTTTGGTTTTTTGTTATTTTTCGTAAAAAGTAGTTTTTTTTACAGCGTAACCATACTATGAAACCTGCCCCTAAAAATACTCGTATGCCACCAGCAGCAAAAGTGTTTTGCAAATTGCAATGCAATGCAACATAAACATGAACGCCTAATATAAATTACGACCTTACCTTTTTCTTTAAATCTCCATACATTTCTGAGGTTGGTGCATATGGCTTGATATTTTCATAGTAAATAAGGTTTATAACCGTTTTGGGTATTACGTTTTTTTTTATTATTATTTTTTTATTTTGGGGCATTTTTAAAACCTCACCGTTAAATTCACTTTATAATGTTTCAGAAAAAAAAATAGTTTGACCCACAAAAGTTTCTGTGCTTTATGTGCAAGCCGTGCCAGTCAGAGACTGGCTCAAGGAATAAAACAATGACCCGAATGACACATGGGCATCTGCGAACTTCAAGTTGGTTTTACTGAACTGTCTAAACAAAAGCTTGTTGCGTAAAATAACAGGCATTTTGTGAGTATGATGTTGCCAAGTTGGAGGGGGAGGGGTGAGAAAGATACAGAAAGAAACGACGTCATCATGAGACAGACACTGCAACATTGTAGCAAAGAATAATAGACGCGCTGCGTGTCAATATACTGTGACAGTGATGGACTTCCTCTCACCAGCTGGACCAAATCTCACGACCCTGTTAGTAGTGGTTATGACAGTTGAAGTTAATTTTTAAAACATGGAATTAAAGAGAAATTATATAGCAATGAGTTTTACACTGAGCGCTGAGGTGAGACATTTGAAATTTTGTTAAATTATTTATTGAAATGTTGTTGAACTGATCGTCTTCTGATTTTGGATCTAATCGTAGAATTTGCATTCTGTGTAGGCTACAGACCACTGTGTATTGTCACATCATCATGATAGGGTAAAAGTTACAGTGTCTGTAAATGTTTGTGTTTATAGTGATAGATTGTGCTTGTTTATGGATGTCTGAGAGGAGAGAGGTTTTTCGGTTCGGGGAGGGGAGTCAGTCTGCTGCTCATTATGTAACTGCTGTTTGGAAATGTGTTTTCGCGCTCCGCTTTTTGAGTCTGACATTCCTACAGTTCCATTGGGATTCCGTTATAAACATCACAGCGAGAACAGATCACAGACGAAAACAGAGAGACAGCGTGCGTAGAGTTCGTGTTCATCCTCAGCCTGTCGTGTCGACCCTCGTAGGCTTGAACAAGTGAAGTGTCTGAGTCTAAGAAGTATATGAGGATGACTTTGGTGAGAATCCCTTTCTGGTAGGAGGTTATTTTATGGTTGTTAAAAAGTTGTTTATGGGACTGCTTTATAATGTAAACGAATTAAATTATTGGAGTATAAGACGTTAAAATGTCTTCTGACATGTTTAATTATGTGTTTTCATATAGGCCTACTGCAAAAATGTTTAATTCTCATAATGATTTCACAAAGGAAAACACCAAAACACAGTACGTGCTCATCCTCATTCTGTCATATTGCATGTTGTATTTGTGTCTGAGGCTAAAAAGTGCTTTGTAGAGAAGAATGACTTTGAGAATCCGTAGGAGGCTATTTTATAGTTGCTGAAAGGTTGTTTTGAAGACGGTGTAGGGTGTTAAAGTGTCTTCTAATATGTTTATTTATGCCATGTTCATATATAAACATCTTATACCATAAAGAAACTATAAATACAAAGCAGTTTGCCGTATTGCCAACTCTCTCTGTGAACACCATGTGTTGAGGAATGTTTTTTTTTTTTTTTTTTTTATGTGCTGTTTTTTCAACCCAGAAGGGTTACATTTTTGATTGTGAAACTGTGAGAGGGAATTGGTGTTGTAATCTCTAAGATATTCAGGCTGTCTGGCATGGAGGCTTTTTGTTTGGGAATGGACGTTGCAGGCTGTTACTGGGTGTTGTCAGATGTGTCTGTGGTCCAACAGTTAATGTTCTGAACTGTGTAACGGCATCCCTATAATACACAGAGGATATAGTGGTCATGGGAAAGAGCAGCATGTGTTTTTCCTCTGACAGTTTCCTGCCTTGGAGCCACTTTACTATAATGTGAAGTTACATTACAAAAAAAGTTTCTTTGACATAATTGACATTAGTTGCCACACTGGTATAATTTGATCCTTTTCCTGCATTTACAGGCATTCGGGTCCCATGGAAAATGGTGTTGTTTATGTAAAGGTAGGCTACTGCATGATATGTAATATATTAACTTTGACAAATTTCAGGGTGACATTGTTAAGGGAAACTCTGCTGCATGGCTTTAAATCATGCAGATCATCCACCCAAAAATGAAAATTCTGTCATAATTTAGTCACCCTCATGTTGTTTTAAACCTGTGTGACTTTCTTTCTTCTGTGGAACACAAAAGAAGATATTTTGAAGAATGATGGTAACTAAATATTTTCGGGTCACATTGACTTCCATTGTATTTTTTGTCCATACAATGGAAGGCAATGGGAAACAAACTGTTTTGTGTTGCCCGAAGAAGAAAGAAAGCCATGATGACAGAATTTTCAATATTAAGTTTATTTTGCTTTTCTGATGACATTCCCTCACAAAGCGGTAGTCACAAAGGAATCTGAGAGCTTGGCCATAAACTCTAATTGAATTAGGATGGGTGACACAAAAGGGCTTAGACTGCTGCCCATGTCTTCAGAATGGTTGAGGATAAACAGGGTTACTGTAGGCAACCAACTGTGCCAAATGTTGCTGTTTAGGGCAACTGAAAATGGGCTCACATTTAAATAGAGATGCTTCACATTATACCACTGGTAGGTCTGTTGTAGCCTCTAGAACAAAGGCAGTCTTTTCACCATTACTGTCGTTTGTCTTTTGCACAATGTTTATTTAACATTCAGGACATTTTCCCATCATTTAAGTTCACCTATATCAGTTTTATTGCTCCAGATGAACATAAATATATTGGATAATAGGGCTAGTTGATGCTTTTAAGACTCCACACTGTTGTTAGTGATAATATATCGGCCTATTACAAACTGTAAACACAGTTATGTCACCTTAACAACCGACCAGAACTGCTCTAGATGTGATCCACCTGAGTCAGTGGTTTCATAGGAGGTTGCTAATGATTTCTTTATTGTTATGGTTTTTCATCATTGCTGTATTTCCTTTAGTTTTCTAAAGAGACATGCCAACTGAATTCCCCATCAGACAAACTAAAGCAGGAGTTGGAGAAAGAGCTGAAATTGAGCAGCAGTAACTTATCAAGTCATGGCTGGTACCATGGTCGTATACCTTGGGAGGTGAGATTGTAAAAAGAAAATGTATAATATGTTGTATCCTTACATTTTTGCAAGTTCTTGCTTTGACTAGTATTTCATCTCAAAATACATATTGATATAATAAACCATATGACTTAATATTTGTTTCTCACAGGTGTCTGAGTCTCTTGTGCAACAGAATGGGGACTTTTTAGTCCGTGACTCCCTCAGTAGTATTGGAGACTATGTCTTAACCTGCCGCTGGAACCAGAATGCTCTTCATTTCCTCATCAGCAAGGTTCTGATCAGATCTTATGACGTATCTACACGAGCGCAGTATATTCTGGAGGAGGAAACCTTTGATTCTGTGCTGACGTTGGTTCATTCCTATGTTGGAAATAAAAGGCCTCTGACAAAGAAGAGTGGTGCATTGATTTACTCACCAGTTTACAGGACACTTCCACTAAGATACCTAGAAACCATGTTTGGGCTACCAAGTGTGCAGAGCAGCCCAGTGAACTCACCAACCAGGCAGAAAGGAAGCCAAAAGAAGAGGGAGAGCATAACTGTGACAGAGGCTTTGGAAATTGAGCTGATAAGACCACAGAGGTGAGTTGTATGATAGAAATTGTTTGTATTTGAGGTGAAGTGTTTAATTTCTCAGCCTTAATAGGATACTTATCCCAAAAAATGAAATGACTTATCCCATTTACTCACCCTCATGCCGTCCCATATGTGTATAACTTTCTTTCTTCAGATGAACACAGCTTTTTTAAACTCCCTCTCTGTGAGTCCAGATAATGCAAGGATGAGACTTATAAACCAATGCTTCCAGCTAACTGTCAAATGGGTTGACTCAAGTGGGAAGTGATGGTGAAGCATGCGTGAGTTTCACAATCATGTGACAGTTAGCCAGAAGCAATAGTTTATTGTTAAATATTAGTATTTTCCTTACACACACCCATCGTTTCACTTCAAAAAGTAACATATGGATTACTGTCGTGTTCTCTTGGTTTGGTTTTTGAAGCTTTAAATTTGGAGGTCCAGTACACTTGCATTATATGGACTCACAGAGATGATTTATATTTCTAAAAATCTTTGTGTTCATCTGAAGAAAGAAAGTCATAAACATCTGGGACAACATGAAGGTGAGTAAATGATGAGATAATTTTCCCTTTAAACAACAACAAACAGATCTGCAAAAATAATGAACCCTATTATCCCCCCATCTGCCATTGGTTAGTCAAACACACACCCACGCCTATTTAAAGGTTTAGTTGAATGAAATGAAAATTCTGTCATTTACTCATCCCCACATCTCTCCAAATTGTAAGACATTCGTTCATCTTCGGAACACATATTAAGATATGTTTTATCAAATCTGAGAGATTTCTGCCCTCCATTGACAGTTATGCAACTGTCACAATCTCAGTGAAAGTCCACAGAAGAAGTATTTAATCAAACAAATCGAGAGGTGACATAACTGTTACGAACTGCTCGGAGACAAAAAGGTTGAGATCCAAACGCAGCTTTTATTGAGTAATCCATAATCGTAATCCAAACACAGGCAAAGGGTCAAGCACAGGAAGGCAGGGGACACAGGCAAAAGGGGAATCTAAGAAACTGGCAAAAATCCAAGAACCAAGAGACATGAAACCAGAGAGAATGCTCAAAGATGCAGGGTAGGCAAGACTTCACAGGGAATGAATGAGAAAACCAGGCTTATATAGTGTGAGCTAAACAAGGTAATTACACACAGGTGAATGTAATCATGGCTGATTAGTCATGGGCAAAGGATTGTGGGGAATGGAGTCCGTGAAAGTGTGGTGCTGGTCTGGGGTGGAGTGGTAATTTCGGAGCACTCTCACTGGTGATCGTGACAATAACAGTGTGTTCTCATACAAACTCGTAACACAAGTAATAACTGACAACTCAGGCAGAAAAATGAGGAAATTAAATATACACAGATAATGAAAACGACTAGCAGGTGCGATGATTAAACGAATTACCATAATAACAAATGAGAGAGGGAAACATGAACAAAGAACACAGGAAAGACACAGCTTCTGTTTATGTTCGCTGATCAATGTTTATATGTGTATAAAAAGCCTAAATTCAATCTGTTCTCCATATAAAGTAATCATGTCTCTTTGGAAATTTTTGACTAAACCGCTTAATTTTACAAAAATTTTTACAATTTCTTGATGAACTTTTTGAAGCATCAAAGTAGTAGTTGCCTAGCTGTCAATGGAGGGACATAAATCACTCAGATTTCATTAAAAATATCTTCATTTATTTTTCCGAAGATGAATGAAAGTCTTAGGGATTTGGAACAACATGAGGGTGAGTAACTGATTTTCATTTTTTGGGCGAACTATCCCTTCAATATCACACATTTCATCTTTACGGGATATACATAAATCTCACCCTTTAAATGATTAGGTTTTGTTTTAATAATAATTGATTGTCCTGTACTGTATTCCACAGTGATGTGGTGAGGAGTTTTGATGGCACTGTAGAGCAGCGCCTTGTAGTGTCGACTTCCCCCATATTAATGAGCACATGTAAGATTCAGTTCCCATCAAATCAAGTAAAACCAGACAATCAGAGAATAGCATTGTGACTGTGCACCTGCTTTTTTTCTCTAGTGGCCAGGCGGCGACGGAGCCCCTCCGAAAACAGGAAGTTTGTGATAGTCCCTTCATCACCTGTTCTGCAAAATTCCAGTGAAATACGGCTTTGTTCATCCCCCCCTGAAAACACTCTCATTTATTTGGAACCAACAGTACATCTTCTGTCCTCCTTGACACATTCCCATCAAAACAACAGAGAAGCGAACCATCCACAAAATGACCCAGCGATTTCTCCAACTGACCCTGTTACTACAAATCATCCCTTTGTAAGACATGAGATACAGACTTTGGATCGCAGAGAGGAGTACGATGAGGATTATTTAGTGCCTTTCGCCATAGACACAGTTTCCTGTTTCAGGCCTTGTATGTACCAGTCACCACTGTTGCCCCCAGAAAATAAACCTCTGGAGACCAACATGCTAAAAAAAGTGAAGGATGTCCTGTTTAAAGTTGACATAAAGACAATGGCAATGTATATTACCAAAGCTGACTGCATGGTAGGTTTGATTTTATAAACTATTTTATAAACTAGATTACTTTTCATGGATTCAAATAACTGACAATAGGACTGCACGATTTATCAAAATAAAACCAAAATTCCAATATGGCTTTTATGGAGATTATCAATGCTGCATTTGCACACAGTTGCAGTTACAGTTGCATAATTCAGTGTTTTATTATTAGCATTATTGTTTCTTAAATACTGATTTTTTTATTTATTCATTGAAATATTACAATAGCAATTTTATGTTTATTATTATTATTATTATTATTATTCGATAGTCAGATCTCCAACCAAATTGTACAGCCCTACAAATAAGCACAGTAAAACTGGAACTTAAAAAAAGGCATTTTAAATCACAATCACAATTTTTATCAGAAATAAATTTGATTTATAAAAAATGTCCCCAAGTAATGCTGCCCTAATATATTGTTAATTATTGCGTTTGTTGTTGCTGTTATTATTATTCAAAACTTTTTTACATTTAATCTGGATATTCTAATATAAAAAAAATGTTCTATAAAAAAAATCACATTTTAATTCACATTGTAAATCACCATTTTTATCAGAAATAAAAACTTGATTTAAAAAAAAATCCCCAAATCGTGCAGCCCTAATATATATAACCAAAGTTAAAACCATAATAATTATATATATATATATATATATATATATATTTTGGTTTTTCCCTTGGTCATTATTATTCAAAACTTTTTACATTTGATCTGGATCCTATGAACGATTTAATATGATCGTTTTTCCAAGTAAAATATGCACTGCAATATGCTCTTAACAAGATTGCTCATCTTCACTCTGCAGGTTGCTCGAATTCTGGATATGTCTGATGATATGATGAAAGGGATGGGGGTGAGTTCGGGAATGGAGCTACTCACCCTCCCACACGGACATCAACTCCGCCAAGATCTGCTTGAAAGGTTGGTTACCACTGTGTCCAATAAATGCTTCCTTTGAGATGACAGCCTCTACATTAAATTAAAATAACCAAATAACTCTTCCTTGTCCCCCCAGGTTCCACACCATGTCCGTAACGTTGGCTGTAGAGCTGCTGGGCTGCACTGGCAGTGCTGATGAGAGAGCCACCCTCCTGCACAGAGCCATCTGTCTGGCCTCTGAACTCAAGAGCAATTTGGCCAATTTGTTTGGTTTTGCCACAGTTATGAAATTCCTCGAATTACCACAGGTTAGAAGACTAATGAAAGCATTTCTCTTTCTCGCAAGTTTATAGTTTATATTAAGTTTAAGCTTACAACCAGGTGCTTCTATCTCAGTGTTATTCGTTTATAATTTCCCTCTGATTTTAGGGATATGTTATGGGTAGGGTTAGGTTTAGGGGTAGGGATAGGGTTAATACTAAATTTTCAGACAGGAATGTTGTTCCAAGAACAACATGTCTTACTTGGAAAATCACGGTGACCTTTTATAATGTTCTAATAAGTCAGTCTTCTGCTTTTTTTTTTTCAGATTGCTCGATTGGATGAGACATGGACGGTTTTACGTCAGACGCATACAGAAAGTGCTGTTCTTTATGAGAAAACCCTTAGACCCTCAATGAGGATGATGAATGATGGAGAAGGTATACATTCACACATACTAATCATCTAATGTAATTCATAATCTGGTACACAAAGTTCATGGACTGACTCAGCTATGTTCTAAAAAACATTCAGCTGATGTTCGCATTAAATTATGAAAATGTAAAAAAAAAAAAAATGATAAGAACGTTAAGGGAACATTCTATTTTTAATAAAAACATTAAAGTGTTACTTTTGAATACTCCCTCAACATTTTTAAACAAATTAAAACAATAAGCCCCAAAAGGTTGTGGTTTACAGTGAATTTAGAACAGCTAAGAGGCATTGTTAGGCACGAAGCGGAGCGGGAAAAATATGAATGTAGTTCTTCAGAAAGAACTTAGACGCTGCAACACACAGACACAGAGGCGCAGTAATACTGATGAGTATGTTTAGAGTATCCTCTTGTTTCACAGGTCATACACATTGCATTGTGGTTCTGGAAGCTGTTCTCCGTAAAATGTGCAGCACACAGACAAACATTGAGGTTTTAATGTTCAGGAGCAGTGTTTAAAATAAATTGTAACCACTCTCATCAGCCTTAGGAAGGTCAAACAAATGAGTTTTGTAAACGGGGTGGAAAAAAACAGCGTCTCTTTGAAATAACGACAACACTGCCTTCTCTAATGCAGCTCAACCAGGCCTCGTCCCCTTTTGTGTGTATGCCGTGGGCACGGATATTTAAATGGGTAACATTGTGACTTCATAAGATCCGGAAAAATCGTCCAAATGAGTAGTTCGTTGTAGTTCTTGGACAGTGGATTCTGTTAAATAAAATATCTCCCTTTGGAGTGCACTTTGAGCTTTGTAAGCTTGCAGGTCTTTTTTTTATGTTCAAACAGCTACATTACACACAAACTAAAGTTGAAAAAGTGAAAAAGCATAATAGGAGCCCTTTAAAGATTCTGTGTGCTTACCATTTCAAATTCTCCAGTGACAACCTCAAACTCTCTTTCAGAGATAAGTGAACCCACAGAGACAACGTTTCCCCATGTGCTTCCCCTGCTGTCTCTTCTTGAAAGGAGTGTCGTGACTCTTGATGAATCCGAGTCATGGGAAAGTGCAGACACTGGAGTGGCCATGGTCTTGAGCCATCTGAATGCTGCACGTACGATTGCGTGCAATGGCAGGATCTTCAGTGCTAATGCAGAGGCCAAACTGCAGGGTAATGCTTTATAACATAAACAGTTTGTAATGGTTACTGAATTTTAGGGCTATTTAGTATAGCTACACTTTTATAAAGACAATAAATGGTTGCATTTATATTTCTTGTACCTTGTGACTTTAAAAGTTACATATAATAATGTAAAAACATTGGAATTAAGAACAAGTCCAAAGTTAATAAGTATTGTAAAACATACAATTTGCATGCTATTAATAAAAAAAGTGATTTAATTAATTCAATACGCCCAGTGAACGTGTTTCAGGTCGTGTGCAAATAATGTTGCTTATTTCAGATTTTTTTATTTGCAGGGTTTCATGAGGAAGCGGATGTTCGGGAGGTCTTCCTCACAGAGTTCCAGATGCGTCTCTTGTGGGGAAGCCGTGGAGTGGAAAGAATTAAAGATGAACGTTATTCAAAATTTGATGAAGTGCTAACAGCTCTGTCCAACAGACTTGAGCTTTCTCACTCACCAAAATGACAGAAGGGATGATGGCTATTCACATATTATTTACAATACATACACTGTTTTGTGAATTTATTTACAGTTAGACTGTTTGTTTTTTTCCCCACCATGAATATGGAAGGCATGTATGTACATAAACTGAACACATTTTGCAATTTTAACTTATTTGATTTTGGTTGTTATTGGGTTTTTGTTCTTTTGTTTTATGTAATGTGTTATTATTTCAAGAGGAAATAACTTTAACTTTGCTAATATTGTTAGCTTTGATCTTTGAAGTATTTAATTGCACTTGTTATTGGTTATGTAATCAATGACCGAATAATGGGTAATATTTACTCGTTGGTAAACTTTTTGGAGATTTTAAGTGTATACATTTAACGCTACTAGGCTATTTCATACTCACATCATTTATAAATGAATTTAGTTATTTCAATTTACTGTGGCACTATATGATATTCAAGTGAAATGTTTGTTTATCTGATTTACAGCCTACTTGTTTGAAATTGTAGTATGTACTTTGATACCAGTCGCCACATCATACTCAAATAAAACTTGGGTCAAGTGAATATCTTATGCCTATAATAGATTCAGAATCATACTCATAACGACCAATTTGTAATTCTTGCATAGGTAATAGGTTAAGAGAATTTATTGAATGTGCTGATCATAAACACCGAACACAGTTGTTTGTGAAAAATAGGCCTAGTGAATACAAACAGTGTATAGCATTTTAGTTAGCTACTTCTCAGTGGCGTAGCCAGCCAGGCCTAGGCCCCCTCATTTACATGTCCGGCCCCTCAGATTTCTGATTGCTTAAAACAAAACAAAAAAACTTTAGGAGGCAAAATATTTTTTTAGTGATTATGTGAATTACACTGCGCAAACCAAAGTAATAGGCCTACTACCCACCGGATGAAGAAGGGTTTCCTCTCAGTCTCCACAGTAGCCTACATAAAATATTCATTTTATTTTATTTTTCGTGTTCGCATTTATGAGGAAAAAACAATGTTATGGACGTGAGCCCTCTGAAAGCGGCACTAAAAGATGCTTTAAAACTTTCACAGAGACATCAAACAGAAAGCACAAACCCTTTTCTTTAACCTGAATTTCGTCTGGTATTAATTGTATCTTAATTTTAATGAATGTTTCATCAACCAATTGCCTGGATTTAATAAATAAGAAGTAAATATAGCAGACGATAGATAATCAGAAACGGAGGCGCCGGCGCGTGAACTGGAGCTCGTCTCATAAATGAACCGAAACTCAGCATAGGCCTATAAGGTAGCCTACTTGCCTCACATGTCTACTTTTAAACAGAACAATTCAAAACGAAAGAAAACAGACTACAGACTGCTCTCTGCTTATGTAATCCTTATTAAAGCTGCAGTCCGTAGCTTTTTTAAGTTAAAAATAATCCAAAATAATTATATTAAAAAAAACTTATTCTGCCAGTGGTCAAAACTATCTGCTTGCCATAGCTAGATTCAAAACGGTTAGCTTGTAATAATGATTTTAATTCCAGTGGTACTGGTGGGTTTCCGCGGGAAATTCAAACATGTCTTTGCGTCATTACGTCACACCCGTACACATAAAGAAGGAGTTTCGGCTAGCCGGCTATACTGCGCGTGACGAGATGTTTAGATGTATAGGCTTTTCTCGCAGCACTTTACATGATTAAATTTATGGCATCCAGAAAGATCCAAACAACAATCATCAGTGTCAACTGGAGATTCAGCAGTTATAAAACCCAAAAGACTTCGTACTTCGGATTTAAGGTGGCTAGAGAAAGAGAAAGAAACCGTCTCATGCGAACACAAGGATTTAAACATCGGCGGGGCTTTTGAAAAGTGCGTGAACTCCGTGTTTTGAAGGGGTTCAAAACGGAAGAAGAGACGGCTTTTTTCTGCTGAACAAGTAAGTTAAGACATTTCAACAGTTCAATCGTGTAACAGAGTTAATTCACACAGTTATGGAGTTTCCTTTGTTGTGCCTTTCTCGTTTTGCTATTATGGAGAATATGAATTCTGAACTACACAGATAACCATAAAACACATTAAATTTAACATTAGTCACGCAATGCTGATGTGATGTTGTTAACATTCAATTTGAGAACAAAGTAGGCTATAATTTGCACGGTTGCTGTAAATCGCGTTGATTAAATCTAACGAAGCTTATCATGTCGAATGCTTTTTCCCCCTTAGTTGGTCAGAACAAAAATGGATGTTACTTACTTGTTCAGAAGACATTTTCTTATGAAAATTCTTATGTTGGTCTTTCAAACTTTCAAAAAGTGAATCTGTGATTCTGTATGACAGTATCCACACTGACAGCACCACTCGCCTCAAAACACTGTGTTCATCCGCGCTGTTTCATGCCGATTTACAACCCACGTAAAGATGATAATTCCGCGAATCACTGCAGTTACAGATTTCGAACAGAGAGATGGCGACAAAGAGGAAAAGCTACGGACTGCAGCTTTAAATGTGCATTTCTCTCTGGCGCGTTCACTACTGAAGATCGCGAGTCATTCAGCATCGTCAACTTCATCTTAGCCGACAAAGAAAACACTTGTTTATTAATAAACAATTAAAATATCTCCTTGCTATATTTTACATATTCATAATAATAATAATCACCGGGATTTGCTACTTGGCACACAGTTTATCAGCCAGGAGATAGAACTAATTAGTGAAATCAGCTGGCTGAGTTCATGGGTGTAATAAACAGGAACTTTTACTTTCTGACCCCAGGACTTTACACCTCTGCTAGCCTACTAGTAGTAGCTAATACTTAATATCATTATTTTGAATGGATTGTTTTAATAAAGCTTGTCTGACCAATTCGTTTACGAACTAAATCAGTCCAAGCGGTTCACGAGTCACTGAGCCGAGCGTCTTGTTCGAACATGTCTGATAACCGTAACGAGCCGAAAAGGGTGAGCTCAGCTGGCTACACTTCAAAATGGTGCAAAAAAAATTGCATATTAGAAATGTTTAGGCTACGACTTGATGTATCACACATACGGAAAATGTTTGTATTTGATAGCGTTTTATTTTAAACGTGCAAAAGTGCAAAGTGATGTAGCCTTAATGGTGTAATTCAAGTGATATTTTATAGCATCTAAATTGTTTTTATGACATGACTATGGCTGCAAATTGAACTGGAAACCGTAAAATTGCAGTTAATACTTTTATTAATAAAAATTTTACCTATTGAAAAGAAAACGCAATGCCAAGGGGGACAGAGGAAAGAATTCGTCTACATATATTTTGATGCTTTTAAAACATTACATGTTTTCAGCGCATTTCTGTTTTTAGTTTGTTCCTAAATGTTTATGTATAATTTCAATCATTTATAAAATGTGAAAAATTTGATTTGCAATTCTATATATTTTCCTAATAAAATAAAACCGCAAAATAAATTGTTCTTTACATTCAATTATCATCCTGATCATTATCATTATCATCAACAAAACACATCAAATATTCACAAATTTCTATACACACCCCAGCTGTCTATCAATATAAATTTGTAATTCTTTCCAAGATAAGTATATACAGTGAAAACGGAAGCAAAACAGTTTTTTTTTCTTCCACAAAATTCACAAGTATAAGCATAAACATGTGCTTACAGTTTTTATTATTATTATTATACGCCGGAAGTTTGGGATCACGCAATGACGCAATTACGTCGCGACGTAAAAGAATCAGTGAATTGCCTTTTGAAAGAACTGCTCGAAAGAACCGATTCGCGGAAATGTGTGAAGTCAGCCCAGTAGTGTCTGTGTGGAGCTGTAGTTGCGCTTCCGTCATAGTACTCATCTTGGAGCTGTGCTCCGAGGCTGTAGCCATCATGATATTTATACTGTTCTTAATTTATTGTACTCCCTTAGGTACTGGTTTCGAGATAAAGTCTATTTTTTGTTCAATATCTGAGAGCTGCGAATGTGACTACAAACCAGACATAAAAGGTAAGGTGTGTATGATATAAACAGCTGTCTCTTCAGCATATAAACAGTTAGCGTTAGCTTCTGTAGTACTACTCAGTAGAGTTGCCAGCTTCCGCAGAGGAAACTACGGAATTTCTTTCAAAATAAATATGGGATCCATTTCTTTATACCGAATACAACATTGGTGGTGGTGGTGGTGGTAGGTGACAGGCTGACACTGTAAACATAAACAAAACGCTACATAGTTTACAGTGTGTACGCAGCTTTAATGTGGATAAAACACATTACTGCTTGACTGGATGAGCGAAAATGCATTTGAGAGATAATCCATTTGATGTTAGCTTACTTACAACTTGCTAAAAAGCCACACTAAAAGTGTTACACATAATTATATACGTCAATTTAGCTGGAAGTGTGACTATATACATATTTCAAATAGTTGCACAAATTACTTTCTCATATAACAGTAAAATCATTGAAAATGTGCACCAATAAAATTAAAATTGTTTATGACTGACATTCTGATTAATAGTAAAAAGCAATCTGTAAGCATTCCCCTTCATTTTAATGGCAGTCAATATTTGCAGACCTTAATGAATTGCTTTGCAATGATGTCATTCAATATATCTGTCAAATGAATGAAGATCTTGTGACATATGCACATATGCTCCAGTGTAACAGCTGTGAGTAAAAGCAAACTTTTAATTTCAAACCCCTGTGTCTTGTGTTTTTACAGGTTTAGAGTGGGACCTTTATAAAAACCTTTATGGTCAGCATATGGCTCAAGACATTGTCTCAGAAGCAGTGATGAATTTTTTACAGAATGAAAACCCAGACAGACCACTAGTGCTGTCTTTCCATGGAGCATCCGGGACTGGAAAAAGTTTGGTCAGCTCTATGATTGGACGATATATCTATGGAACGGCTATGGGCAGTCCGTACATCCATCAGTTTGTTCCCACATTACACTTTCCTTTAGCCAACCGGGTGCAACAATACAGGGTAAGTGTATATTTCTTGATGTATTGCAGAGTTGCCAGGTTTGCGTAAAAAAACAACTAGCCCAAAACTAACTTAATGACCCTATATCCCAAATATCAGAACTCACTACCTAAAATACATATTTTACAGTTATGTGTTTATAAACAATGAAATAAACTTGAAATTCACTATATAATAGGAATCATAAATGCATTTTGTTTTCATAAAGGACCTTAAATGGAGACCTACCAGTCTCCTTCCCTCACAAAACTCATCTAGTACACAAATGTAGAAATGGGCAAAATATTAAAATTTTGCAAGCATTCCAATCGAATACAATGTTTTCAATATGTTAAACGTTAAACCCGTGGCAACCATTTAAAAGAACCGCAGACTTGGCAACTCTGGACATTTGTTGTACACTTTAATATTTATATCCTGTCAATAGATCCCGGATGAATACAGATTTATTTGTTCTTTTCTTGCTTTGTGCGCAGTCAGATCTAAAACTCTGGGTGGAGAGAAACCTCACCGCCTGCGCTCGCTCAATCTTTATCTTCGATGAGATGGAGAAAATGCCTCCTGGTGTGATTGATGTTTTGGAACCGCATTTAGGCCCCTTCCATGTTCTGTTCCAGACAAACTACCGGAAGGCGATTTATATATTTATCAGGTAAGTCTGACTGATTAGAGTAACATCTGATATGCTTATTTTGAACAGGCTTTCATTTTCAATCTTCAATATTTGTTTTCCCAGTACTGTAGGTCAGGAGGTAGTTAACAAACTTGCGTTGGACAGTCGACAGGCAGGAAGAGATCGAGAGGACATTCGCCCCGATGAGCTGGAGGACAGTATCGCTGACGCCGTGTACAACAACAAGAACAGTGAGTGTCGTCGGTCTTCAGCTCAATCCTGTTAATGATAGCTGCTAGTTACAGTACTTCATATGCGTGTTGCACAATTTTCAATCTAATCTGTGGATGAACTTTGTTTCCCAGGTGGGTTCTACCACTCCAGAATAATTACGGAAAAGCTTATCACTCGTTTTGTGCCTTTCCTTCCCTTGCTTCGGCGCCACGTGGAGCGCTGTGCCCAGCGGGAGCTCTGCCAGCGCGGGGAGTGTCAGCGTACAGATGTGGCATCGTCAGTAGGGGGCGCCATGACTTACACACCAAATGACAGACAATATTTCTCCAGCACTGGCTGCAAATTGGTGCCGGGTAAAGTTAACCTGTTCCTTTGAGGATCCTCTTTAGGATCTTCACAGCACAAAACCTTTTGGGGGGTTGAACTACAGTGAAGCAACATGAATTTGGGATTTTGGGACATTCTTTCAGTATGTTTCAGCCATGTGGATGAGTTCTGATGAAGAATGAACAGGATCCGAGAAACATCTCTGGTTTTTGCAGTTTTGAATCAAGCGAGAATAAGCCAGTTGCTAGTTAATACAAAGGCGAATTCAGAGCTGACCTCTTTTATACATTAGAGTTCTCTGGGACACTGAAACAATCTACAAAACACTCATTTTCAGTGTGGAGTTCATTACAAACGAAGTGCTCTCTTAACTTCAGTGATTATTTATTTTATCATGGGGTGACTATGAAACTAAGTGCTGTATTTCTGATGCTGACCACAGGGTGGCAGCAGTGCCTACTTGAAGCTGGGGGTTTTTGTCCCACAATACCTTTTGTTGTAGTTTTTTCCCTTTTAAAAAAAATCATATTAAATTTGTAAATGATGTATAATAGCTTTCTTTTATTATTTAAAAAGTAAATAACGATGTCTGAAAATGATATTTACCCCAATTTTTAAATTGTCATCATTTACTAACCCTCATTCCTTATCCCAAACCTGTATGACTTTATTTTTTTATGTGGAAGTGGAACATAAAAGATATTTTGCCTCTTGAGAATTTTGTAGTATCATGTCAAGATTGCAAAAAAGTTAATAGATCAATTTTTTTCTCTTATCTGAAAAGCCATGTTGTCTACTTTGATTAATTTGAGACAAATTGCCAGATTTTAAATATTACTTAAATAATTAAGGGAAAATACAAGATTGAATCATGAAGTCCCCTGAAATTCAGTGGAATGCTATCCATATCCAATTACAGTGTTATTCATTATCGTTTACATTGTACAGTTATTCTGCACATTCGTTTAGAATACTCTGCAATGAGATGTAAATATGTTTTAAAGACTAAACTATTTTCGTCATGCACTTTTCTATTCATTGATCAACCATTTTTACCAGTAATGTGCCATGTTTTTTTTTTTTTTTTTTTTTTTTTTTGAAAGATGTACATGAATACAAAATGAAAAGAAGTAACACTACATCAAAAGCAAGGCAATAAAATCAACTTTCATTTTTTTTTTTAAATTGTGTATTTGATCATTTTAATCCACAAGAACATTTGAGCATTTGAGTTTAAATTGAGCTTTTCATATATTTCCAAACCCCATATATGACCATTCCTAGTCCCTCACTGTGTGAACGTTGCATATGGACTGAATGACACAAAGCCTCCCAACTCCCTCTGACAGCCCTTCTTCCACCATCTACCAAAGGATATTAAATGTTTCTCAGCAGGAAATGTTAGCAGGTGTTAGGTGGTCTGAAAGCGACACCGTGACTGTGAGCTGGACATTAAGCCCTTTGAAAACATGTTGAATTTTAGTGGATAAGCTCTTAAACTTTCCCTACCATTTCACCTGCACACAAAGCAAGCACTAATACCCACTTTGATGACTTCATCTGTCCCATCCCAGAATACCAAGAGGAAGTGTAGCGACAAGGCCCTCACCTTGGGTGGCGTCAAAGGAAGGATTTTCAAACGTTGCGTTGTCTGACTGTTACAAAAAGCAAGATAATAGCAGACTGACCCCCTCCCTCCTCCAAACCTCTGCTCTTAGCTTGACCCCTGTGCTCCCGTTCACACGCTCTCCAAGGCGGCTGCCCTCGCCTGGCCGCTGGCCCCTTCAATCGGACACCTCTCCATTCTGTCCCAAATCAGGTCTAAAAAGGCACAACATCACCCCCTCCGCTGGTCCCCTCTGGCCTGGCTACAATGTCCCCCACCCCCCTCAACATCTGTGAGCACCCCTCTGTCTCCTCATTTTCTCTCTAACCACCCCATTATTGGCTGTCTTTCACTTGTAAATGTGCCCAGCCACAGTGCTGATGAGTCTTTCATCAGCATGGCCAGGGTCAGGCCGGAGTTAGCGGCCGGCGGAGGGGTGGGACGGAGGATGGAGCGGGCCTTGTGTGGTCCAGAGATGAAAAACAATCAGCACACTGAGCAAAGTCCTTTTGAGGTGCATTCAGCTGAGACGCTCGGCTAAACCAACTTTTGCCTCTTTCTGCATCAGTTATTTGGTTTGTGTATTTGTGAGACTCAGTGTCATTATTAACATTATGCTTATGGTATATTGCTTGTATGTTTCGAAGACACTCGTAATGAATTTGTAATGTACTTCCAACACAAATAAAGTACACTTTAATATCACTAATCAAGCATGTAATTAGTCCCTACACAGGCATATACTTAAAAGTATACTTGAAGTTGGTCCAATGTAGTACACAAAAGTACACTAAATACACTTTATGTTATGCTTTACTGCAATTTAATTACAAAATATACTTAGTTCAACATTAGTTGTTTCAAAATAGCACACTTCAAGTTAACTAATCATTAACACACTAGAGGTATACTGATAATTAGTCTGGCTGCAAGTATACTTAGCATATTCTTTTTTTCACCAGGGCATAACTGAGGGGTGGCTCTGAAACCAATTAATCTGATCTAGTTAAACTCAACAGATAGCATAGCACATGCTAAATGTAACTTGTTTATTACATAAATGTATGTGACATTATAGACCGGTACGTTTACACGACAACGATGCAAGCTACTAAAACTGGAAACGTTTTTCCTTCGCGTTTTTCACGTAGACAACGTTGTCAAAACGATTCCCATTTACACAGATCCGCAAAAATAATTAAAAGCGCTGTATTATGCATGGCATGCCAGGCAACTAGTTGGTGATGTCACTTTGTAAAGAAAAATGTGGCTTTAAACTGAACATGTAATACGCATGTGCATGACGTCACCGTTTTCACAGATTCACGTTTTTGTAGTTTACACAGAGATAACAGTATCGCTTTCAAAAACTTGCACTTTCAATCATCTTTTTTAAACTTCGCGTTTTAGGCCCCCAAAACGATGTTGTCATGTAAAGGAATGGCCAAAACGCATAAAAAGTTGTGTTATCCCTTAGTCAGGTTATTGAAGTGAAGTGACATGAAGGCCAAGTATGGGAATTTGTCCTCTGCATTTAATCTATGCAAGTTAGTGAACACACATTAGGAGCAGTGAGAAGTGAACACACACACTGCAAACCGTGGACACACGCAGTGGGCAGCCATTCACTGCGGCGCCAATGGAGCGATTCAAACAAAATAAAAATAATTTTAAATGACACACAATATTAAGTCGATGTATGATCATAGTCTAACAGAAATAATCCAAATGTTTTCAACTTAACTATTTCCCCGCCAGCGTTTTTGAAAAATGTTGCCAGCCACCGCCAGCATTTTTGCTAATTTTTACAAAAGTTTAATGGCCCCCAGAATATTTTGTTGTATGAATCTCTGAATGTGCAATTATCAAAAGAAAAAAAGACCCCCTGCTTTTAAACAAACAAACACACACAAAAAAATGATTATCTTCATGCATTCTTTTTTTAACAATAGCCTACTTTAATGTGGGTAAGTTTCATTAAAAAAAGCAACATTTTGAGCAAAAGGCTGAGAAAATCGGGTTTTGTACGTCTTGATCTGATTCAGGGCCGGGTTTCCCGATAACGATGTATCTTAGCTCTTAAGAGCGCTCTCTACGTGCAAGGTTACGAACGCTCGCCGCAATTCCACGCGCGTTTCCCAAAAATGCACTTAACATGAACGCGCGAGAACGCGTTCTACGTGCTACTTAAGCGTCGCTGTCCATTAGCGAAGTGCTGAAATATAACCTTATATGGAATCGTATTCTGAACGTTTAACCTAATAATCGTCATTTGTTGTGGATTAGAAATCAAGACAAGTCTATATGGATATAAAGGACCTATACAGGCTGACAAAATGGCTGAACAAAAACAAAACAAGAGAAGATACCTTTCAAAAAGATAAAATTAATGTCTGTTTAGAGGAGATAGAGCGAAACAAAGATTTTATTTTTAACAGATTTAAAGGACACCATACAAATAAGGAAAAACAAAACATCTGGAAGGACATTGTCACATTGCAAACTAACTGCAACCGTGTTCAAAGATCAGGGAAGGAGGTCCGCAAGAAATGCCCAATACATGGCTGGTTTTAATTCATCCCTATTTTGCCCGGTCTTTAAAGCATATTTCCCAGATTACTTATTTTATGATTTTTTTGTTTTTTGTTCATTCGTTTAATTTAGATACGTGTATTTCTATTTTTTTCTTCCCTTTTTAATTATTTCATTTATTCATTTAAACAAAACACGAGTACAACAAAGTGTACAATAAAGTACAATCAAAACCTATATATTATACTCACGTTGCAGTGTAATCTGTTAAATCTAGATAAAAGTGTAATCTGCCGGTTGCCCTGCAGGTGACCACATATAGCCTAACTCTGTCTTCTTACGATGCACTTGGGGATTTACGATTACTCCAGAGCACTCGTAGTTCTACGAAGATTTTCAAGTGCTACTTAAGTTACGATGCTTTTGGGAAACAGACCATAATATTAAGATCAGTCGTACGATCGTTTTTACGATCAATTTAGGCTTACGATGCTTTTGGGAAACGCACCCCAGAACGATTATCAAAACATATATGGAGTAGACCGAGTCGCACCCCTTAATGCGTCACAGTGCTGGGTCGACGTTTCATGGTAACGTTAGGCAGTTTTTATTTACACTACCGTTCAAAAGTTTGGGGTCGGTACGATTTTAAATACTTTTAAAAGAATTCTCTTCTGCTAACCATGGCTGCGCTTATTTGATTAAAAATACAACAAAAATCAGTTATAGTATTAAATATTATTCCAGTGTAAATCAGCTGTTTTCTGTGTGAATATATAGTAAAGTGTAATTTATTCCTGTGATCAAAGCTGAATTTTCAGCATCACCAGTGTCAGTGTCTTCAGTGTCAAATGATCCTTCACAAATCAGTATAATATGAGGATTTGATGCTCAAGAAACATTTATTATTATTATCAATGTTGAAACAGTTGTTGGTCTGTCAGTTGTACAGTTTTTTTTTTGTTTTTTTTTAGGATTCTTTGATGAATAGGAAGTTCAAAAGAACATCATTTGTTTGAAATAGAATCTTTTGTAACATCATAAATGTCTTTACTGTCCTTGATAAATAAAAGTATTGATTTCTTTCCTCCAAAAAATAAAAATAAAATTCTCACTGACCCCAAACTTTTGAACGGTAGTGTACAGTATATGCTTAATGTTGATGATCGCGTTATTTTAAATATACATCTGCTTACATACGCTATACCGCTTGTTTCTACTTCATAACGTGTTTTGATCTGGACTGTAACATTACTCTTACAGAAGATGCAAAATAGCACCCCAGTGAAAACACGGAAAGCCGGAAAATTCCGTCAATGGCGGAGAACGAGTTAACTTAAAAGGTTTAATTTAATTAATACATTTGAATAAAA